TGATGGGTAGCTCTGGCCTGCGGGCAGGGTCTAATCCTCGCTGTCCGAGCCCGAGGAAGAAGAGACTTGTCTGCGGGACTAGGACGGTACCGAGGCTGCCTGCCTACCCTGATTCTGTCGGCTCTGGCTGCAGACCTCCATTGAGGACCTGAATGGAAGCGATGGCTCTTGGTGTCGTCAGCGACCAGTGGCAGCGTTTGGTGGATCGGCAATGGTACCCTGGCGATCGATGCCTTATACTTAGCGAGCGATGCCGCCTCATAGATCAGGAGCGGGAATAGGAGTGAGAAGACTGACGTGTTGGAGACTGTTGACGCGCCCAAGGTGAACTGTATTGGTGATCCAGCAACTGGTGACGGGTCTCCGGGGACCGGCGTCTCAACCTTCCGGAACGGTGCCGTGAGCTGGGAGAGCAGCTCAGGCGCTCCCAGCACCGGGGATCTGGGGACTGGTGTTGTGCCTCTGTGGGTCTGCACCAGCTCGCTGGCAATCTACACCTAGAGCCCAAAGAATGCTGCCTAGAGTCCGGGGACCGACACTGGGAACTCTGGCAGGCAAGCCAACCCACATCCGGGGGGCTGGTGGCGCTGTTCAGGCGCACGCTGATGGGGCACCTCCTGCAGCAAGGAGTGGTGCTGCACTGATGGGGATCGTTGGAAGGGTCCCAAGACAGGTTTACCCCTCGAATGGGGCACTTCTGTGGGTGGCACTGGCAGGGACAGTATGTCCTTAGTGGCCTGAAAAGCCTCTGGCGTGAATGACACCGCCAGGTGCCGAATGCCTCTACCACTTCCTGGGGTGGTGGGCAGGTCTGAAAGCGGGCTCAACAGCTCAATGGGAAATGGAGCCCGGTCAACATCTGGTAGGGAAGAGCTGCCCCGCGTGGGTCTTAGCTCTCCTCCAGCTCTCTCCTTCCCTTTACGGGACGTAGGAGAACTTTCTTTGCTTTTTAGCCAGTACTGGGGATGGAGATCAGTGCTGGTGTGAGGCCAGTGCCAGCGGTGTGCTCCTTTTTGGTCCGTGGTCTGAAGCTCTTGCCAATGCGACACTTGTTGCTAACGTGGGTTCCCCCTAAACACTTCAGACAGCTTCTATGGGGATTACTGACTGGCATGGGTTTCTTGCAACAGTCACAAGGTTTGAAGCCCGGAGACCGGGGCATGCCCCGTCCCTAGGTTAAGTCCTGTTCAGGACTAGCAAACTATTACTAACTCTACACTAAGGGAACTAGACAGCTATCAAAGTTTTTAACAACTATATGCAAAAAGTTCGCAACTAGGCACAGTTGAGAGAAATAAGCTTGTTGAGGCAAGGAGACGTTCCAGCACCATCACTGGCGGTAAGAAGGAACTGAAGGAGGGGGGAGCCGCCGGCGCCCCTTATACTGGTGCGTACGTGCGCCACTCCAGAGGGCGCCAGAGCTGGCCCGTACGGATACCACTGAGGAAAAAACTTCTGGCACTGGTGCATGTGGCAAGCACACACACCTACAATGGAATGGATATGAGCAAGCACTTCAAAGAAGACTCTAGAGTAACTCCATTTAACATAATGGAATAACAAGTGAGATCAGAACCAGGATCCCTGTATAATAATAAATAATAAAAATAATAATAATATCTAGCTACATGCTTATAACACACTGGTGTTAGTTGGGTCTCCCCTCCAGAGAATCCTCATGAGAAGAGATGACTGGACCTAAAAACCAGATATCAGTCCCAGACTCTATAAGCAGTTTGTTTTTTTCTGGGCTAGTCTCTTCCACTGCTATTCAGTTCCCTCTAGCTTCCTCTTATTTAATGCAGTAAGGAGCCTCATCAGTTGTCAAATGAATGTAGAGTAAATAGACTCAAATGTGGACTAGCTTTGGCAAGTGTGGACACAGAGTTTCTTATTAAGTTATCCTATTCTGAGAAATATTTTATTATGGTTAGTTTTATGACTTCCAATATCTAATTATCCTTAATTTAAAATCAGATAGGATTTTAATGATTATATGTTGCTTACTGCTTTGGCTATAACATGTTAATTATTTAACGTTTCATTAAATTGTTCTGCATACTTGCATATTCCCTTCAATAATCAGTCATTAAATGCTTTAAATCTCTAATTTCATTAAGTTTATTAACTGTTTTTCAGCTCTTATTGATGTTGATTCCAAACATAGTAAAGAGGAACTAAAGATGCCACTACTATTTATAACTCGACAGTCTAGCCATTAACACTGTTCATTTAATTACTTTTATTACCAATTTCTTTTTCCTTCATCATTAACAGAGAAAAATAAATATCTAAAAGTAACACTTCTATTGCCATTGTCTATCACTGTAGTCACTGGAAGAGGATTTTCTTCCTACAGCTCCAGTTTCTGGATTTGAATTAGTCTCTTTAAAATATCATGGTGACTTCCCACACACTCCCTATATTTTCAGTAGGGCTTTCTGATATCTGGGAAACTGTTGAATCTAGCATCATGTGATTTGTAACATCATGGTGGTAACCTGATTAGTTCCCACCTGTAGCATCATCCTGAACTGCATATAATACTTTGTTGATTGTCATGAAACCTTTATTTAAGTTAGAAAAAGTCTTCACTAATTTCTAGCTGGACTTTAGTTGCTAGTCTGAAGATTTCTATCATTTCTTAATTGTTATTCCCTTCAGCATGCTGTTTGTCAATTTATATTTTTATCTTTGGCTCTTTATTTCAAAGCTCCCTCCTTCTTAAATTAATTTATGTCGTGCTTACTGTGACCCAAAGCCTTTATTTAGCAATTCTGTATTATTTGAGCTTAACATATCCTCCTGCCAAACTTATTTTAATCCAGTGCAGATAGTTTTGCACAGGGCTTTCATATCTTTTGACAAATGATTCAAAATGGAAACTTTTTTTTAAATAAAATAAACAGATTCTCCTCCTGATTATGAATCCAGTTTTTTCATGTTTAATTAGTATCTGCTGCCAAAGTCAGATGCACAAACATTAGAAGCTATATCCTGACAATTTAAGCACAACTCTCAGTGACTTCAATAAGAGTTCTGCAAACAGAACGAGACCAGGATCTGGCCCTCAGCCATTATAAAGCACTAGAATGACAGTTAATTATCTATTTATTAATCAAACTACTTTAAATATAGGTTTATGTAATGATTTTGTTTGTCTTTCATATTGAGAAGAAATGAACAATTTATATACTCTCTAAAAATAAAACTAAAATTTAAAAAGACATGTCTGAACAAAGAAGCTAAAATGCATGGGAAAAAAACAGTCAGAAAACATTGGCAGGGCAAATTTACCGGAAAGCTTGTAAAATATGAAAGACCAATAGAAATTATTTTATTTTATTTATTTAAAATTCCAAAGAAAACTTTTTTTAAGCAAATAAAAAATTTGCAATCCATGCACTGTTGCAACGTTTCCTGTGAGGTGATGCGTGCCTCCTTTGAGGTGGCTAAAAACCCTCAACTCCCATTAACTGTTGAAACAAAAAGGAAGGAGACTTGAATACTGGTGGCTGTAAACACAAGCAGCTCCAGACAAACTCAGTTAGAAGGCATTTATTTTATCTGATGCCACAGCTGTAGAAGTGACCATGACAGCAGCCACTAAGTAATACTCAGCCAAATAGTTCCTAACCTGCTACCAATTACTGAACTGCTTTGTTAACCTGGAGTGCCTACATTCAGTCTCAGAACCCTGGAGCACTTGCTGTGAAGAACTGACAGGCTACTTCTGGCAGACAGATATGACATCCCAAATCGGAGAGATCCCATCAGGTTCACAGGAACTGATGGCCACGTACATAACTCACAATTCCTTTAGTTCCCAAGTGGCATAATTGGTAATGTGCTATGATATTGTGAATGGTGATACTGTGTGAAACTCAAATGTTAACACCCAGCAACACATGGGAGCAATTCAGTAATCAGTGCTGAACATTTAATACAATTATTGTATCCTAAAGAAATAGTCTTGACTAAAACTGTAATACATCTCTAGAGAGCAATATTTTGTAATTAAAACAAATAAATAGGATAGGATTTGATGTAAATTTACATTTCTATATTATGGATAATGCTCTCACATTTTTTAACATGTTAATACTACCAAGTTATTCCTTTTGCCATTCAGCTTGCAGTGTCTCTCCTGTTTTCCTTAGCTTCCTCCATTTTGCTTGTGATCCTCTATTGCTTTGATTTTTGTTAAATTTGGTCTTGCTACGTGCCATTTTTTGCTTGCTTAGACCATGAAATTCTTACAGGATGGCTTAATTAGGAAGGCCAGAGCTTACTAATGGTTTCATTTCCTACACTGCACTTTTGTCTTGAAGAATGCTGTTTTGCATCTAAACTAACACTCTGGAATTTTTATATAACTTTTGCTTGGGAATGACAACATACACACTTCTAAAGTTATGTCGGCCTTTTCGAAAACACACCATCTACATTATTTTGCAGATGTAATGAGACTGCCAAGATGCTACCATGGACGTCAATGGGTGCAATCCCCTTGTCAAGATTTCAACATTGGCATGTAGTTCAAACAAATGTATGCAATTAATACGCTAAATTGGATTCTTATCTGCATTTTTTGTTAGGCTATGGAGGCTAGAGTATCATACACCACCCTTAATTATCGGCGGGGTATGGGACATAGTTTTTTCTGAGGCCAAGTTTCCAGGTTCTACAGATTTTTTTCCCGCATATAAACTCACCAGATCAGTATTTTAAAATTGTTCAACACTTACCCCCCAGAATTCACCTCCTATGATCATTAGCGAGGTGTATTCCATAGAATTTAAGATCAGGAATGACATAAAATGTATCTGCATAAGTACTCTGTTCTTTTATATCTTGATATTTATATAGTTTTGCAGACTGTACTTTGTATTAAACATTGTCTCCTACGCTGAACCACACTGTGACACCTTGTACATGCGTTTAATTTGGTAAAATACGTCTGTGATAATAAAAGATTTCAGACTGTTCATTTTACTTACTGTTCACATAGACATTAAATGTTAGAGAGGACTTGGCATCAGAATTGGATACAAAAAATGTGTAAATGCCTCCTTCTGTTCCTTTTAATCGGGTAAGGTGAAGTTCACTCCTGTATCTGCAAAGACAGGGAAATTAAATATTACCACATTTGTTACTCACCAAGTGCATGGAAGGCCAGTTGCTTAGTGATGAAGTAAATTTAAAGATATTCTGAATGTAAATATTCAGACTGTTTATGTCACAGTTTATGCTGAAACCCACATTTTATTATATTTAAAGCTCTCTTAGGGCTAAATCTTGCCCTTGCCTATACAGGGAAAAAAGTGGGGAAAGAGCCCGAAAGGTTTTGCATAAGCAGCAATATGCACACTATGAGGGTTTAGAAGGTATCCAGCCATGGTCCACAAGAGAGTGCTAGCAGATATACTCAGCTGGCACAACACAGTGACCACAGCTGGCACAACACAGTGACCACAGAGAGGGCATGATTATGCACAAACAGATGAGCATCTATGCCATCATCCACAGTAAAACAGCACCAGGAGCAGCAAGAATGGTTCTCCCATACCACAAAGTTGAAAACAAGCACCTCATGGCATAATAAGCCATCATCCTGCCCTGTGACAGGAGGATTTCTTTGGCATTTCTCTTTCCCCAGTCCTTTTGGGATTGGGGGCAAGGGAATAATTTCTTTTGCATCTCCCCACCCTCATCTTCTGTTGGAAGATTCCAGGAGCTGTCTCAAATTAAATCAGTCATGCTTATAATTACTCATATTACCTGTTATTGCCCACAGTCTTGAATTTGACATAGTGATCAGATGAATTGTGTAATGTTTCATTCATATACAACCACACTTCTTCTTCTGGTCTTGGATACGCCTCATACTCAACTATTAAATTTAGATTTTCCCCAGCATTTACATCTACTGTTGTATTCTTCGTAGTAGACACATTGACAAATCCTTTATCTGATTGCCATAATAAGAAAAAAAATCAATTTTAAAGGCAATTTTTACCCAATACTTCAATATTCTATTACACTATTTACTAATACCAGGTCAGTGGTCCAACATCGAGCTGTGAGACAGGAAACCTTATCTAGGAAGTATACTCTGAACTCTCACCTGCTACAACCAAGACCACTAGCTACATATGGGAATGAAACTTTGGCTGCAAAAGAGAGCAACAACCAAACAACTTACAGCAGCCATGGTTGGCAAACCTACAGTTGCTTTAGCAGAAGTAATTTAATCTGGTAATAAATTGAAATATCCTGACCATGCTCTTGGATAAATTGAGTACATGCTTAAATTTTACTCACATACTTAAATGTTTCCATAATTGAAGCCCTTGACTGTTTGCTGGAGAAGAAATGTTGACAACAAACGCAAGATAAATTGATTGTTTGTGACAATATACCTTGAGTTTTTGCTACCGTGTACTTAATGTTTCACTGTCGTATCATTCTTAATTACAAGCGAAACTATCAAAAACTGTAATTAATGACATATGCACTAAGTTCACAGGTCTGGATACCAATCCTTCTAAACGAAGGCATTTCTGTTCATCTACTATTGTGTCTTAAACTTTATTTGGGACATATCGTTCATCACCATTAATTTATCTTCTAAAATATCATGTAGTGCAATATATTTACTGAAATGATTTTCTTTTAGTTAATAAGCTCATCAGCTTTAATACTACCCTCTTTAAAAGACAAATTTTCAATTCCATATTTATTCATATGTGCATTGTCAGTTTCAGATCACTTGGCAGAAAGTGGTTTACTGCTTGTTCCTGATCCACAATAGCTATCATTTAAGTTAGACCAAAAGTTAGAATTTGGGGCCCCCATGCTTCCAAATTGCTCTGCCTGGTTGGACCCATGTACTAAGGCCATAATAAAGTCAGTGGGACTCTGTGAAAGCAGAAGTCTGACAGTGCAGAGCCATGGAAATTTCAAAATAGGAACACAGGAGCTGTTGTACTAGATCAAGCCTGTGGTCCATCTAGTCCAGTATCGTGTCTCTGATAGTGGTCAGAATACTTCAGAGGAATATGTAAGAAGCCCAACAGCAAGCAGGTATGATACAACCTGCTCCCTCCTAGTTAGAAATGTGTTTAAACCCCAAAACATGAGGTTTTTATCTCATTGCAAACTCTTGTTTTGCATTAACTCTGAATATATTTGTTGTTCATTCAATACATCTTGGAACCTTATTAAGTTCAAGACTGTATCTGAGACATTTCAAATAAAATTCAATGATTAAACTGCCAATACCCAAAACAGAATTTTAGTAATTGCTTGTATTTTACAGAAATCAACCTGTTTTCAAAAATATATATATCAGTAGATTCATCAACATAGCTATTATTTCTTCCAAGCCTTTTGGTTAATGTCAAAAGGTGTGTTAATTTAGTGTCTGATACAATCTCAAAGATCTCTCAGTTTCCTCCCCCTATATTTCACTTCTTTGATCCTAGGAGTTGGAACAGTAAAGAAAAGCAATAACCTATTTTGTCAATTAACAGTAAAAGAGTCCAGAACAGATTGTTTAGTTTATTGTAGGTGAAACTCAATGAAACAAAAAAATATTGTTTTGAAAATGAAAAATTCCAGCTTTTAACTGATTAAGAACTTAATTTTTTTATTAAGCATAACATATAAGTATTTTTCCTTGTAAAAATATTTTTGTTTTATAGTACTATGCTCATTGCATTTAATAAAGCAAGTATGCACAGAGCAACTGTTTTTTTCTCCTGTATTTCACAAAACTATTCTGAATGAACCAATTCAGCAAACTCATTTGCATTTGGAGTATTTATAATAGGCTCTGTATTGAACAGTCCCTTATATTCCCTTATAATAAACTTTCTTATTTCCCCAACCCTTGCTCTTTGTAAAAGATTCTATCCTTTAATACTTAACATTGCTTCAGTACTCATTAGCTTACTTTATATAACAATTTAGTTTCATGTATAGCAACAGAGTAAAACATACATCAAAATTATAGGCCAGATCTTCAACCGGTGTGAATAGGTGTAACTGCATTAAAGCCAAGGGAGCTGTGCTGATTTACATCAGCTCAGAATCTGATTCAAACACTTATCTTATTTCTGCTTTCCTTGAGTTACTAGGGAGAACCATGCAAACAGTTTTGCAATGGTATTTGTGAAAGACAACTGTTTTAAAAGGGGGAAAAAAAGATGACAACAGAGTAACCACTACATCAAGAAATATTGAGGTTTCACAGCTAGATTATTTTTTTTCCAATTTCTACATTCACGGAAGCAGAGGAACCGAAAATCTTTTAGCTAGTAACTTGGAATTATTCAAAATTCTCTTACTAACTACATCAATATGCTCCTTTATCAATTTAGCAAATTATCACTTAACTGTGATTTTAATATTTTAAAAGTACGGCTCGTCATACAAATTAATACAGGGCATTTGGAATCTAAATAGTCTTCTCAGCACAGCCTGTTACTAAAAGGGGTAGAGTAAGAAGATCTGCTTGCTCTTAAAGGGTGTGATCCAAAGCCCATTGAAGTCAACGGATGGGAGTCTTTCTACTGATTTCAGTGGGCTTTGAATCAAGACCATGTATTTTATGCTATAATGCTGTACAGAAAATAAATAAATAAATGGTACTTGTAATTTTATAAAAATTCTCCCAATTATTCTTTTAAACAGAATTCAGAGTGTGGCTTCTCCTACATAAAACATATTAACACACCAATGGATGTAACAGAAAATCAATTTCCTCTACATGGAATATGGGTATTGAAGACCTGTTTTATATTTGCTCTGCCAGCACTATAGAGCATGGGAATAATGTAAGACAAATTTGTGTGGGACTGGTAATAACTCTGCACATTATCAAGATGGGCTGAGGCAAGACCCACAGCAGGAGGTAAGATTCCAGAAGATGGTTCCATACAAAGATGGGTGAGTAGATGAAGAAAGGGAAGTTTTGTGCTTCATTAAGACTGAAATAGTTTTAAAATTAAACCAGTTAAGAGCACACAAACCAGAGAGATGCAAACATTGTTGAGGTTGCTCTTCTATGCAAGATCACATTTGATTGACAAAGAGTAGGTTACAGTCATTAAAGAAGTGATACACTTTAAAGCTTTAATCTTTCTTTTTCAACATATCACCAGTCTGCAATACCTTTTTAATAATAAGCTCTACTCTTCCATATTGCAGAGGATGTTTACTTTGCATTTTCTCTTTCCAGCTCTTAGAAATGTTGTATTTCTTTAAGAATTATTTACCTAGTACGTTCAAGGTTATTGTGACATTGGATGATCCAAAAGAGTTTCTTGCTTGGCATGTGAATGCTCCAGAATCATTAACTCCCACTGAACGGATGCTCAATGTTAATTTCCTTTCATATTCATAATCACCGATATTCTTGCTTTTGCTTTTAACAGTCTGTCGGAAAAAAACAATTAACATCTAAAATACTGTGTATGCAGCAGCCTTCCTAGATAAATTAAAAATAGAAGTAATTATAACTTCTCTACATTAATATTCATAAATTTAAACCGGAATAATAAGCCTTCGTGACAAACCTGTCACTGGAACCTCTCCATACAAAACAACTACATGATCAATTCTCTGTGAAAAATAATGCTCTTCCCAAAGCTGTATTCTCTTTCCCATGTTCTTTATTGCCTCTCCTCCTCAAATCCCACGCCTACACCCTTAGTCTGTTGGGTTTCACTGGGCTAGCTCTCTCTAAATGAGAGCCCCATTTTATTGGATGCTGAGCACCCTCAACTCCAAATGGTTTCAATGGGAGCTATAGGCACACGGCACCTTGCAATTAGATTTTATTAATAGTTCTCAGGCAGGGAATCTAGTTTGTTCACATGTCTGAAGAGTACCAGACCATTAGAAATGGGCCAAAACCACAAAGTTCAAATCCAAATTTCCCCAAATATTGGTGTTTGTGTCAGTGGGCCAAGGCCAGTTCACTGGAGGTAATTTTCCAGCACCAAGAAAGATTCAGGTTCTGCAGAAAGCAAATTTCCATTCATATTAAAAATAACGTTTCTAGTCCTTCTGTGTGGAGACTAGATGAGACCATGGCATTGAATTTCACTTTGATGTTGCTTGGAAGTTGAAGCTAGCACAGAATGTGGCTGTTGGGCTGGCGGTTGGTGCATCAAACAGCATGTAAAAAAACATTACCCCAAGAGTTGCTCTGGCTCTCAGCAAAATTACAGGTAGAGTTTAAGGTGCTAATTTTAAACTGCCAAGTCCTCCTAGAGCTTGAGAAGAGGCACCACTTCTCTCTTGGGTCTTTCTATCACAGCTGAGTTCAGCAGTGGTGATCAGCAAGGAGTTCTCTCAACACACTCAACAGGGAGCTGCCAGTAGGCTGCTCGGTGAGGGGTCCTCAGCTTTGGAATACATTTCCCTCTTTGATCTGCAAGCATCTGGATTTATTAACCTTCTGGGCAAACTGGAAAGCCATTTTTTCCCCTCAAACACTTAATATGTTGGAGGTTGTGTCTAGGGGGTACGGTCTGGGAGCTGAAGAAAGATTTTAGATGGGATCTCATGATATGGTTGGGTAGTAAGTGCTTTTAGTTTTTTGTGTCAATCTACTATTAAATTGGAATGACTTGTCATTTGAAATTAGATCAAAGCATAGTGTTGAAATATTTGTTTAGATGTTCTAATGAAAATGTTTTCATTTGGAGAGGTGTTAGAGATTTCCAGGTGTTTTATCCATTTAACACAGTTATGACTTTTGGCCTCTTTATTTTATATGTTAAGTTTTATATGGAAGTGGTTGTTTAGAACAGATCTTCTACTGATTTTTCAAAAGCAGCAACAGCTACTATTAGTGATCAGGGAAGCAGTGAACATTTTTTACTTTGACCTATTCAGGCCAATATGCAATTCTGCCTCTATTTAAACTCATTAATGTTATGTATTCTAGCCATTCCAATACAAAATTTAATTTGACATTCAATATTTAAATGATTGCTTCCCCTGATATTTACTAAACAAGACTGAAAGGTCAAACTTATTTGGTCAAAAATATTTTTCTTGTAGATTTTTCTTCATAAAGATGTAAACCAATATAGCATGAAAAAATGTGGTCGAGAAAAGATCCTGACCTTACTGCAATCAAACAAGAAAATAAAAGTGCTCAAATGCAAGATTTATAGTTAACCTTGGCAAAGAACCAAAAGCCCCATCTGCAAGTACCATACTGCCTACATGTTATTTAGGCTTTAACTCTTGAAGCTGTGAGCTGGGATTTCCCAATAGATATGCACTTAGTGATAGAAACTCTGCCAGCATCAATGGATTAGTTAGGAATGGCATAGAGAACCCGAGAGAATCAGTATCCAGGTCATATTTGCCTGAGGCTGTATGATTTATCTATCATTACAATATCACAGAAGCTATTTTTCTATACACACATGAACGGCAAATTATGTATTCCAGTCACTACCATTAACAGTAAAAGACCTGCCAATTAACATGGGATTGTATGCTGCAGGCGTAGTAGTATGTCTTATTACCAACAACAACCAGTTTGGGAACTTCAGGTACTTTTATAAACTATGGCCAAACTCTTCAATGCTGCTGAGATCTTGCCGCTCCCGTTGAGATCAATGGAATTTGTGGGTGCTCAGTAGTTCTGTATTTAGGTACACCAATATAGGCAGGCTGATCTTCAGATTTGATCTTCAGATTTAAGAGCCTAACATCAGGCACCCAGGGGATGTGGGAGAGGCTCTTCCCCCCGGCTGGGGGC